TTCCTCCGCCATGACGCGAATTTTCTTCAAATGAAATATAAGGAATCTGCAGAGAGATGACTCAGTGACTGGGCACCGCCGAGGCCGGGCCCGGCGCCGCCGGGGCTGGCCCAGTGGGGGACTAGGGCCGGGGAGGGGCAGTGGGCCGCGGGCCGCGGGCCCCAGGCTGCCCGCGGCGGCACTGATGAGTCACCCGCTCCAGAGTCCGGGGGTCCTACCGTACCGCCGGGGCCGCTGTCACTGACTGCCAGGCCCGGAGGTCGGAGGTCAGTGAAGCTCAACGGTTGAGCGGTTGAGTGTCGACTCGAAGTCACTGAGTCAAGCGGGCCGAGTCTCAGCTGTTGATTGAAATTCGGCCAGAAAATCAACGGGACATGTAAAGTGAGCTGAGAAAGTCGAGACAACTTGCCGACTTTATGATTCAGAAACTAGTATACAACCTTCAATCAGTGCCTGCTGCTGCTGCTGCTGCTGCTGCTGCAAGGCCGCACTGAGGCTCAGGCTGCCGTTCTAAGTTTTCTGCGTCAGACTGCTCCTCCTCCTTCCCTCCTCATGCTAAACAAGAGCAGCCGCAGTCTTTCGACGCCGCCTGAACCACATCAAGTTAGGAGCAGCGACAACCATTGGGGAGACGGTCACCATGGCAGCCATGATGAAGAAGGTTATGGCACCGCAGAGGGCGAGGAACATGAGCATCTGGCAGGACCTTCAGCGACTGCAGGAGGAGGAGGAGGAGGAGGAGGAGGAGGAGGAGGAGGAGGAGGAGGAGGAGGCAACGAGTCTCACCCACGACTCCGGCTGCTTCCACCAGTCGCGGTTGCCGTATTTGACCGGTACGTCATTCTTCGGATCCTCTACGTCCATGGGCTCGAGGGCTCCTTCTTTCTCCTCCTCCCCTGCCGTCGGGACAGAGACTGACTTGGCCGCCGAAAAGGCTGTGTCCATGATTTCCTGCGGATCATTCGTCATGTTCCGAATCGAGAATGAGGAGAAGGATCAGCAGGAGGAGCAGGAGGAGTCAGAGGTGATGGAGGAGGAGGAGGAGGAGGAGGAGGATAAGCAGCAGTAGCACCTGTGCAGGGCCAGGAAGGGATGCTTTAATGTTGTCGAGAATCTCGCCGAACATCTCCGGGTCGATCTGTGATGCGTCAGTTCAGGGGAGGAGGAGGAGGAAGAGGAAGAGGAGGAGGAGGAGACTCACGTTTCCAATCAGCTGCTGGATGAGCTCCTCGAACTGAGGCAACTTTGCAAGCGTATCGTAAGCATCCTGCATGCCAGCAAGCGCTGCTGCTCCTCCCTCAATCATCTTCTCCATCTTTTCCTGCCCATCCTGCACGCTTGATACAGCTCCTTGTTGCCCATCCTGCAAGCTTGATACAGCTCCTTGTTGCCCATCCTGCAAGCTTGATACAGCTCCTTGCTGCCCGGCTTGCAAGCTTGATACAGCTCCTTGCTGCCCATCCTGTAAGCTTGATACAGCTCCTTGCTGCCCGGCTTGCAAGCTTGATACAGCTCCTTGCTGCCCGGCTTGCAAGCTTGATACAGCTCCTTGCTGCCCGGCTTGCAAGCTTGATACAGCTCCTTGCTGCCCGGCTTTCACGGTAGATGCAGCTTTCTGCGCATCTTTCACGGCGTTCTGTCCGGCCTTGTTGCTTGCGAGAGCAGACGCTGGTGCCTTGGGCTTTTTAGGAGGAGAGGAGAGAGCAGCAGGCAGCTTGAGCTGCATGATGGGCTGGAGCGGCTGCAGCAGCTTCTCGATGAAGGAAGTCATGACCTTCTCCTCCAGCTTCGCCAGGAGCTCAGCTGGAAGCGAGACTTTGCTCGAGAGCCCTTGAGTCTCAGCGGCGGCCCGGAGGTCGGCAAGTTGCTTCGCAAACTTCTCAGGTCCTCCCTCGGCAGTGAAGTCCGTCGATGCGAGGGAGTCCAGGGGGGCGGCGAGCTGGGGATACTGCTGGCTGAGCGTCATGAGCTGCGACTTGACGTTCTCGTCGGTCATGACGGTAGCGATGCTGCTGGACACGATGGCTGGAGGGATTAGCTGCTGTAGAGCTGGGAGGACGCTGGGCTCCTCGAGGATGAGCACGACAGCAGCCTTGTAGTCGCCCTTGTGGAGCTGGAGGGGCAGCAGCGTCAGGGGAGGAAAGAGAAGAGGCGAAAGAGCGGTGGCACCTGCTCGACGACTTTGGTGATGGTGGGCTTGACGGCCATTGCCTTCATGGAGTGATCGAGCAGTTGGCTGATGGGTGGGGGCAGGGAGGACACGAGGGTCTTGATAGCACTCATCGCGGTCTCTGTGTCCAGCTTGTCGAAGAGCTCGCTGGCTGTGAGTTTCCCAGCTGCCTCCTTGGAGTTCTTGATGCTTTTCTCCAGCTCCGAGTAGCTCTCGGCGAACTCAACGAGGAGGTCGGGGGAGGTCAAGTCCAGCTGCTCCAGCCTCTCGATGCTCGCCTGCGACTGCGGAGGCAGTTTGCTCTTGAGCAGGGAAAGGCCGTCGCGAACTGAAGGATGCGACAAGACCTGCGACAACATGTCTTGCATGCTCGCCGCCTTGCCCTGTGCGTCGCTCAGAGTCTGCAGGGCCAGCAGGAGGTCCTTCGACTGCAGGCAGCTCTTGAGAGCAGACTTGGCGTCTCCGTCGCTGAGCTGTGAGGCATGTCATCGAGACAGCGTGCGAGTGACAGGAGTAGCGAGCCGATGAGCGAGAGGAGGGAGAAAGTCGAAGACAAGTGTGCACGGGAGGACATCGGGAGGAGAGGGAAGAAGGAGAGGAGAGGAGAGGAGAGGAGAGGAGAGGAGAGGAGAGGAGAGCAGGGGAAAGAAGGAGAGGGGGAGGGGAGGGGAGGGGAGGGGAGGGGAGGGGAGCAGAGCAGAGCAGAGCAGAGAAGGAGGGGATGGAAGGAGGAGGGGAGGAGGAGACGAGGAGACGAGGAGGGGAGGAGGGGAGGAGGAAAGGAGAGGAGGGGAGGCCTGACCGTGCTCATGGTATTGGCCAGTCCCTCAAGGATGTTCTTGATGGCAAACAACTCTTGCATGCCAACGATGAAATCAGCAGGAGCCTCCCACTGAATCTCCAGCAGGTTGTTGATGTGGACGGAGAGGATGTCAACCTCTTCTGCAGTCAAGCTCAGAACCTGTTGGACTGACTCAAGCTCAAAGATCTGCTTGAAGTACCTGCACTCTGGGTTCAACACATAAGCTCCTCCACCTCCACCGCCATCTCCTCCTCCCCCTCCTCCTCCTCCTCCTCCTCTCCCCTGTCACTCACGGGTTGAGGCAGCCGGGCTTGAACATGTTGAGGTTCTCGAGGAGATCCTCGTTGGTGAACATCTGCACGAAGACTTCCTTGACCTGCCCGGTCATAAGCGACTTCCCGATGGGCTGCAGGTCCATCGTAGACTTCTTGGCCCTGCTGATCTTCTGCGACAGGCTCTGCTTCCCCATCTCCTTGGCCTGGATCTCCTTTGCCGTCATCGGGAAGTCTCGCTCGTGCTTGTTCGCGCTCTTCTTCACCACAAACGTCATGATCACTCCCAGGATCTGCTCCGGCATCGCAAGCGCCACTTGGATTGTGCTCATGGTGATGACTGCCGAGATGCCGTCGTCCATGTTCAGGCTCCCACTGGCTATCATAGCGGCGATGAGCATGATGACAGTCTGCTGGAGCTGCTGGACGGCCGTCTTGAGCCCGTTCAGCACGTCGAGGTCGGGGGAGAAGAAGAAATGCACGATAGTCTCCACCAGGTAGAGCGTGAAGATGCACCAGGCGCGAGCCTTGGGCTCCACCAGCGGGAAGGGGTCGGTGGCGAGGAGGATACCGATCATGAGGTTCTTGAACATGAGGAAGCAGGCGAAGTAGCCGCCGAGCTCGTTGAAGTCGCTGTAGAACATGGAGAACGTGTCTTTCTTCTCCCACTTCCCCCGGGACCGTAAGATCCGTTGCACTGAAGGGTCCAGCATGGTGGTGAGCTTGGCCCGGAAGTTGCCGAGGAAGTGGAGGATGGGAGCGAAGCAGGAGGTCGTCTTCGCCTCATGCTTCTCCACCACCCCCGCTGCATCCATCGTATACTTCACTCCGATCGCCGCCCCCAGCAGGTTTGTCAACGCGATGACAACTTTGCGCCCGGCATGCGAGTTGAGGAAGGAGGGGATGAGATTAAGAAGGAGGCCAACAACCCAGAACACGATGGTCTGAACACAGTCGTCACCGACGCACTGGCAGTGGCCCTTGTTGTCGCACTCCACATAGTTGCCGCTCACGCTGCCTTTCAGCGCCAGCAGCACAAGCAGCGTCCCCGTCACCCCCAGCAGGAGCTTCAGCAGCCCGTATATCGTGTTGGGGTCGCACAGGTCATCCGCTGAGCCCTTGGCTGACTTGACGGTCGACCAGAACGTCTTCCATGCTCCATCCTCATGCGCTGACTTGAACTTGATCTTCCTGCTCGCAAGGCTTTTGCGGATGTGCCATGCCATGAACACGAGGAACCCGGCCGGCACGCTCATCAGCCACATGATCGCCATCGCCCAGGCCGCCTTGTTGAGCCAACCGCAAGGGCAGAGCGTGTGCTTGGCCGTGGCGAAGAGGATGCCGGTGACCTGACACAGACCGAGGTGAGCCGTCTTGATGATGTGCAGCTCATGCTCCCCCATCGCCAGCCCCTTCGGGGCTTTCGAGGGGACTTGCCCGGACATCGCCTTGAAGAGCTGGGAGGTCAGCTGGACTAGACCTTCTCGAAGAGCTCCAGAAGCTCCGAGCGACGTGATGAAGGTGCCGGCAACTCCGAAGAAGCCTTGGAGGTGTTGTCCAGCACAGGTGTCATCCTTTAGGTTGAAGATGCTGTCAAACCTCAAGTTCGCCCACGCAAACGCGTCACTGAAGGCTTGACCCGAGTTTTTCTTCTTCTTGCTGCTGGCTGCCAACAGGCGGCGGCTTGACATCGTGGCAGAGGTGTTGGTCTCGTTGCCGCTGGGTACAGGCGTGCTGTCCAGCATGCCGCCAAACAATCCCATGAACTGGGTCGCCCCGATCAACTGGTAGATGGAGGCTCCGGGAGCAGGAGCAGCGGAGGAGCCAGCAACAGCACCTGAGCACATGGCTGAGCATGCGGGCACATAAAAAAAAATTGTTCACCTCCTACAGAGCCAGCCACCGCACCAGCCACCGAAGCAGCTACGACCGCCGCTGTTGAAAAGCACGTCAGCAACTTCAAGCGTGCAAGCATTCACATCAGACCGACAACCGCTGATGTTGAGGCAGCTTGAGCTGCAAGAGCTGCTGACAGCTCAGGTTCGTCTGGAGCGCCAGGAGGAACGTAGGAGCATGTCTGGTTGTAGCACACAGTACTCAGTGACGCAGTCTTGTTGATGTATGCGTCTGCCGCGTTCTTGACTGGCAGACAGCAGCCCTTGCAGATGCATGCCATCAGCTCCCGCAAGGGGGAGGAGCAGCCCGTACAGACTCCATCAAAGGTCGGCATGAAAGGAGGCGTTGTGGAAGGAGAGGTGCCCGGCATGGTCACCGGAACATAAACCGAGTAGTTGCCCTCGTAAACCGTGTAGTTGTAAGGATAGACCGAGTAGTTGTATCCGCTGTAGGTAACTCCGGGGTTGTAGCTGTAGGTGGTGTAGTTGCTGTAGGTGGTGTAGTTGGTGTAGTTGGTGTAGTTCCAAGAGCCCCATGTTGTGTTGGGATAGAAAAAGTACGTCGGAGTTGGGGTTGTCTGAATGATAGGGGTTGATGTGGGCATTTGACACATCCAGTCAGTGATAGACTGAAAGATGTCATCCTGAGCATACTCTAGAAACAAGCTGTCCGGAAGCTCCTGGATGCATTGGGAGACACAGGGGTCGATGATTTTCCTGTGCTTGATCAACGTCCCGAAGAGCTTCTTCACATCCTCGGGAGGCTCGCACAAACCTTGCAGCAGCACCTCCCTTCTGACTCCTCGTTGCAAGAAGCTCTGATCCACCAACGAGGCCGCAGGAGCGAAGAGGAGGAAGAGAGCGAGAGCGAGGAGAAAACCTTCTCCCTTCCTCTTGAGCTCCATCGCGCATCAACGGCAGGAGGGACACAGCGAAAAATTCATCACCGGTTATTTCAACCCCTCTGATGGGGGTGGGTGTACAGGGTACTGCAATAATGACCTTCGAGCTCCGATGATAACCCACCCCTCTTTGTGGCCGCCTAGTGACTTTCCCCAACAACGGATATGGTACCACCCCCCGATATCCCCTGAAATGACCCCTCCTTTCCCTGGGCCCATTTAACTTCTGCCGCTGACTTGCGTCGTCCAGTGTCGTAGGACTCTTTCATGTAAAATAACTAAAACTTTAGTACCAATTTTACGACTGGTCCTTCGGTTGACCATCAATCACAGACAACCTGAAAAATCAAAGTTTTGAACCAGCCGGGCCGCCGGGCCGCCGGGCCGCCGGGTGACTTCCGAAGTTTACTCTCAGTGAATTTTAGTATGACTGTCGTTAACGTTACAAGCAGTTACGAAAGTCCGCCCAGAAAGGATTGAAATGCAGGGTGAGACAAACCTTGGAGCCGGTGTGTGTGTGTGTGTGTGTGTGTGTGTGTGTGTGTGTGTGT